GAAAAACGGCTTCTACTGTACTATTTTAGATGCGATTTTTTGTTTTCAACTACGTTTAGTCTTCATTGAGTACTTAGGTGTATTAAATTGATAACATTTCAGACATTTCGATTTTAAAAATGTTTGATCCGTTTTAAATTCGAATTTGTTATTGCATATTGGTTCGATTATAGAACGATTGTAAACGTTCCAGAAACTTGATCAAATTGAAGATAGTTCGTTTAATTCTGGGCAATTCTCTTCAGCGGTAGGTGTTATATGACCATTACTATGGTTATTGAAATATTGAATGTAAATGGGGTTTGCTTGCAAAACCTCCGCGGACGAAGTTGCGGGTAACAGCTAGTCATACATATTATTAAACTTCTTATTGTTGGACTTAAGCTTTGGTACCAAGAAATCATAAACTTTTCCGAAGTTATTCGTTCATTCAACAAGAACCGTAGTAGGTTATAGTAGTAACGAAAGAAACTTAAATATGGTTACTACAACAGCGTTTATTTGGCGAAGGGGTCTTAAATGACGTTACAAATTCAAGAAGACAGAATACATTATTCACCCCTTGAAGTGGCTAGCAAATCGCCTTTCGTAACATTACATTCGAACTCATCGCCTAAACCGACCGTCCCCCTTTCCTTTCTGTTCACGTTTCATTTTTTAAATAAGCGTCCAATTACTTACAATTTCTGGCAATAAATCTATCGACAAATTAGTCAGCTTAAACATTTTTTATTGAATAAATACATGGACAACTGTAAAAGTTCAAAAAATACACAGAAGTCATTATTTCTGGTATTTTGTACTTAAAACGTGTTTTTAAGTCCAACATTTGAACTGCATAAGATATGTTTAGAAATCAACTATTACATAATAAAATCAAATAACCAAAACTTGTTAGTTGAACGTAGTATGGTATGTTATTTTATATAATAATTTTGATATAAAATCTAAGAATATGCTTTATGTGCAAGTCAGACTTCAGCGAATGAAGTTGCGTGTGGTGTTGCAATCGACTTTTATGAATGAAAGATATACTGTATTTTAAACTTTCTTCTGTTATCAATTTCTGCTCATATTTACAGCTGTTTTTGTCATATTGGAGAAAGGATTACAGGAAACTGAAACCGAGAGTCCTTGCGACGATGTTAAAGTACCAACTTTCTGTTCTGTATATTCGCAAACTGTTGAAGTCGACGGGGAATTCATTTGAATAGGACATGTGCTTTTTTTCAGATTTCTCCTTTAATGAAGCTTTTAAATGTAAACACAATGTATTTGATATTGTAACAAAATTAAATATAAATGTTTCTATAGTCTTGCTCACTCCATTTTTAAAGACATTTATGATTTATATTATACAATTATTTTAAAAGGATATTTTAAACTCTTTTTTCCCCGTGAACACTAAGAGGGCTTTCTTAGCAAGCTCATTATGGGGGCGGCTGGATAGGGAAGGACGAGGCCAGGTATATTCAGACGAATCGCCTTTCAAAAAATTGACCGGTCCAAATTCGATCCCGAGTTCACCAGAGCGATAGGCTGCCACCGCTCGGCCTTCCTGCCGTCATTTTAAGAGGATATCACAGATTGTGCATTATCTTCTCCGTTCCTCTTGAGGTTAAAAAATTGCCGAAACGGTTATATTTAACGAATACGAGTCTGCAATTTGGGCCGAACCCATGATGGACACGAAAACGGGACATTGGGTATGTTCGTAAAGTCAAACAAGTTAAACGCATTAGTAACGAATCGTTCGAAAAGTAGTAGTCTCACTCAATGCACATGCTCTGCGGTGCTTCGTGGCTTCGTTAGAGTTTCGTTCGAAACTCTAACGAAGCCACGAAGGAAAGAGTTAGTTTACTTCGTTAAAAAATGGCGCCCGATATCGATGTTTCTAAATCTATTCGAGTGCTTAAACTGTGAGTTAAAAGGTAAAATGATAGAAATAACTGTCCATCCGAAGCAATTTAAGAAAAATATTTCGGATAAGGCTGCACTAGCAACATTCATATCTTCGATTTTAGGAACAGCCATTTAGTTATAAACGAATCATTCGAAAAGTCTAACGAAATAAGGGCGTTTAGTCAACGAAATAAGTCTAACGAAATAACGCGTTTAACTCGTTCGTAAAGTCGAACGAGTTAAACGCGTTAGTAATGAATTGTTCTAAAGTAGTAATTTCGCTTAGTGCGCATGCTCTGCTGTGATGACGTTTCGAACAAAACTCTAAAGGTGCGTTTACTTTTTGCTAGCTTCCAAGATTGCCGAACTGACACCTAGCGCAGCCTGACGTCATACTAGCACGCTCGTAAAAGTATACACAATAATGGACGCCGCCATATTTGAACAAACTCCAAGCTCGTGCGAGGTTTGCCGATTGGGGAAAAAGTGTCGCGACAGTCGAGCGGTCAGCACTGTCGTGTGGGAGTGGAAAAACTTACTGAGACAAGTCCTCCATCGCAAACTATTTATTAAATATAAAAATTTCGCTTACAACTACTGTTTTCTTCGGCGTAAGGCCTATCCACAGAGTGAATCAGTTCGTAAATAAAGTTCAATTTTTTCTACGATCTTCTCTTCTTTTGGCGAAGATGATGAAGAAAACGTAGGCTCCGGGGTGCACAGCACAACTTGAAGGGGTGATTCTCACAGTAGATTACCCTTGGCGAAAGTTGCTGGGACAGGATGGCGAAAACTTCTTTCGGGACGACGAACCGCAGGAAAAATCCAGAAGCGGAGCACACCGAACTTAGAACCAAGAACGTCACTTCCCATTTTTGCGCGATTTTTATAAGTTTTTCTGAGTCCCAGATCGAACATTCCGATAGGGCGATGTCGATCTGCCCCCGTTCTCTAATTGGTCTCCCTTCCTCGTTACGAATTGTAACGGGATCGGAGCCCAGATCGCGGGGTGAGTCCCCCCGACTGACAATTTGATTCCTATCGAAGATGTTCGATCTAAGTACTCAAATTCATCTATTGTTTCTTTCTGAGAAATTCGTTTTTTCTCAGAAATTTCTACAGATATGACTTTATATGGACATAATATATTCACCTTGCGTTAGACGGTTTCTTTTTACAATATATATTATTATAATAATAAAAAAACACTTTTTTTATACGAAATTAAAACATTATCTTGCGCGAATTTCAACCTACTTCCGGAGCCTCACACTCGTTGTAAATTCTCCGAGCACGCCGAGCGCGCTAGGAATGCTAGCAACGACGTAACGGGTGCGAAAAGTAAACGCCGTGCTCAATGGTAGCTAACAAAAAGTATACAGGCTGATCGCGCTAGGGGCGAGATCGAAACTAAAAGTAAACGCACCCTAACGAAGTTCACGAAGGAAAGGGTTAGTTCACTTCGTTAAGAAAATGGCGGCCGACGATATCGATGTTTCTAAATCTACTCGAGTGTTTAAACTGTGAATTAAAAGGTGAAATGATAGAAATAACTGTCTATCCGAAGCAATCTAAGAAAAATATTTCGGATAAGACTGCACTAGCAACATTCATATCTTCGATTTTAGGAACAGCCATTTAGTTATAAACGAATCGTTCGAAAAGTCTAACGAAATAATAATAACGATGACGTTATTCTCGTTTAACTCGTTCGACTTTACGAACGTACCCATTATCTTAATGCCCGCAGGGCAGATGGGTCTTTTTAAAAATGTTTACATTCGGAAATAATAGAATTGAATAGATTAATTACACGAGTTAGAAACATATTTTAATATAATTAATAATTATTAGAAGAAATTATTTAGTTTATAAGACTTTATAATTCAGGTTTAAAAAAACAATTAAAAATGTCATTTATTCAAAAATCCAGGTGGCGCTATTTTATCACAATAGAGCGGGATTTCTTGAAAAGGGAAACAGTATTCAACAGTAAGGTTGAGTTGCCAGTTTTATTATTCGTTGTGTAAACCATATTTGATGTAAAACTAGCTTTAGATATAACTCACATTATATAACTGCTATAACATTAGTATCTTTGTTAACGGTTAATTACAATATTAGGTTTACCACATTATTGGTAATTAGAATAGGTTAGGTTAGAACGTGGGTCCCCACTGTGTGGACATGACGGTGTACTGTACGTAGGTAAAGATTAACCCAATATTATAATTGTAACTTAAAAAACAGTGAGAAAAATTAATGAAAGGGTTTATTATAAAAAACAACTGTTGCTTTTAATCTCAAAAGATCATACAATAGATTTATTGACTGTGTAAAATATACAACTATTCACAAACATTGACCTAACAGCTGTATAGTATAGCATTGTATAGTATTGACCTAACAGCTGAATAGTATGAAACCTGACAGTTTTGCCTATGTTACATCAATACATTGGATCCCCAGATTTGCTTTAGATTAACATTCATTACACAAATATCTAACAAATTCAAAGATAAAATAATTGTTTCTATCATATTTTCTATCTGGATACCCAAATGTACCAACAAGACTTTTGGAAAATATAAATGCATACATAACTTTGTGTAAACTTTCAAAAATTGGTTGCTGTGTGCATTTGAAGATTATTTAAAATTTTTAATCTTTTTGGTTGTGATGTATGATCTTAATAGGTTGCAAGCAGTGTTAGAGAGAGATTTAATTATATTTAAAACAATATTTTCTATTCTAATCTTTTGTTTGGGAAATAGTTTTGATTTGGTTTAAATTTTGCCTTTTTCATTTGTCAGAAAGGAATAGTTGCATATATACTATTAATATAACATAATTCTTAACAATGCAAAATATATAGATTTATAAGACAATAATAAATATTTTTAAAGACGATAAAGTGTTGATTGAATATACTGTTATGTTCTGTCAAAAGTGTTCATACTCATTAATTAAATGTATTTACCAGTAACACCAATAGACATTTTTATGTTTTTCATTTATACACTAGACCAGTAATTCTCAACCACTGTGCTGCGAGATTTTTGAAGTGTGCTGCCACTACACATACTCATACATAAGTGACAGCAGACAAGTAGTTCAATCAGTTTTATCTTCCTAGCGCATTNAACACAGAGTTAAAAGCAATAAGAATGAAATTACTTTTTGTTCATAACTTGGGCCTTTGATGAACTATCTGAATACTAAAATATAAGTTTCAAAATGTTTTTACCATCAGATATGAAGGTTTAGATATCCAGTTGTATAGAGTTTTAATATTCATTGTTCACTAGCAGAATAAAATTTCAGAATTGGAAAAAAGGATTGTCAGATAGAGGTATTTGACATCAAGAAATAAATAAATAAATTTATATTTTTGTGTAATTATGCTTTATTTTAATAATGAAATACTTATTTTAAGTAAAAATAATAAGTTTTACATGGCCAATGATTATTTAATATTAATATAATAAATATAAGTACAACTTTCTTACAAAAAAATTCTTTGTTTCAGTCATTTCTTTCGTTGTTCAGAGGCAGTAGCCTAAAAAGGACGGTCGTCTCCGTGAGTATTTGTGATTTTTATGAACTGCTGATGGTGCGAACAATGAAAGAAATGACTGAAACAAAGAATTTTTTTGTAAAAAAGTTGTACTTATATTTATTATATTAATATGAAATACTTGTTTTTTTTTCATTAAAATGAGAAATTGCTGTTATTTATATTCTTATGATTCCACTTTCTCTTATACTATTATATACGAGTATAAATTTATCAATTTTTTATTTATAACAAAAAAACTTTGTTAAATTTTTAAGCATTTATTTCAGTTTACTAACTGAAAAAAATCTAATAAAGTTAAATTTATTGAAAAAAAATCAGTCCCTTACAAATGCAGCAACTGTTTAAATGAAAATGGAAGATGAATGACAAAAACCAAATTACCAAATTATCAACCCTTATTAATGATTATGTAGACACTATATTTTTGGTTGAGAACACTAACTTATTTGTATCAATGTATTAAGCACTATGGTAAAGCAATGCATTTGTTAAACAAACTGATGCCATTGGAAATAGTGTATTCAGTAGACTCTGAAAATCAAAGACTTTGAAAGTATGTTATTTGAAACTTAAAAAAATTATACAGTTAAATAAATGTTTATGGTAATATATAATAATTATAATAATTTTATTATAACAATTATAATAATAATTTTATTACTATCTCATTATATAAAGAAAATTATAGAAAAAATCAATTAATGAAATAGTAAGAAAATTTTCAATATGCAGTAAGTCCTCCCTTAACATTGTCAATAAATTCTTGGAAACCATGGCAATAAGTGAAAATGATGTATAATGAAACAAATTTTATCATAGGCTAATTCAGTGTTTCCCAATCTTTTTACTCTTGTGGCACATTTTCCAAAGAAGAAAAATTTTGCTGCACACTTACATAATCATAGAAGAAGAAATTTCTAAATTAAACTAATAATTGAGAATGAATGAAATATTTGAAAATTGTCAAAACAGATTACAGAGTCATCCAAAGTTGATTCTTTCTCTTAAAAATATTTTCAGAAATGTAAGTATTTTTAAGTGTTTACTTAAAACTAAATAATTGGGCTATTTTTAGACTAGTAAATAATTAGTTACTAATGAATTTGACTAGAGGTTGTTTTGCTCTAATCACTTAAATTGGGTTAGGAGTTGATGTTGTTATAAAACTAAATATTATAAATGAATAGTAAAATGGAATTCAATTTCTATCTTTAGAAAAGAATAAATTTACTTTATTACACTATTTAAAGAAATAAAAATAATCATTTATGTAATTAAAGTAAATTTAAATACTAAATATAAATAAACAAAATAACTCGGCAAAAAATTCAGGTGTGTGTGATTTATTATTATACTAAATATATATATATATATGTGTGTGTAATGTTTAAATATATGTTATACATCTAGTATGAACATTCTTTGGATATCAAAACAAAATATTCCACTTAAACTCTGGTGCTTTCTAGTTCATCCTTGGATATCATTACTATTATGACATGGAGTCTAGTATCAAATATTGTAAATGATATAGATGTAAAAAAATAATTGCATATGATTGTCTTATTAAGCATAAGAAAGAAATTTTAAAGAAACAAAATATAGCAAGCCCTTACTTAATGTTGTCAATAGACTCTTGGAAACTGTGATGTTAAGTGAAAAGATGTAAAACGAAACCAATTTTACTATAGGCTGAATAATGTAAACAAGATATAATTCAATTAATATTATTTTAATTGGATTGTGTTTGCAATCTTTATCATTTACTTTCTGCCTCACAGAATCAGTTTTATTGTTTATGAAGAAAATTTGATGATTAATATCAATAATTTTGCTTCTGACTTTTAAATCTTTATGTTATCAATTAAGACAANGAGCAAACCGCTTAACCTAGAGAGGTGAAATTTGGTAGACAGTTAGGGTACGTCATGGAAACGCACACTAAGAAGGGATTTTTCGAAATTCCCCCGCAGGGGGGAGATGAGAGGATTAAGGCTTAACCGGAAAAACAGCTTCTACTGTACTATTTTAGATGCGATTTTTTCTTTTTATATGCGTTTTAGTAGAGTATGCCATGGGAATTCACATTAAAAAGGGATTTTTCGAAATTCCCCCCCGGGGGAGAGGTAGAGCATTAAGGCTTAACCGGAAAAACGGCTTCTACTGTACTATTTTAGATGCGATTTTTTGTTTTCAACTACGTTTAGTCTTCATTGAGTACTTAGGTGTATTAAATTGATAACATTTCAGACATTTCGATTTTAAAAATGTTTGATCCGTTTTAAATTCGAATTTGTTATTGCATATTGGTTCGATTATAGAACGATTGTAAACGTTCCAGAAAATTGATCAAATTGAAGATAGTTCGTTTGATTCTCGGC